TAACGCTTTCTGGATTATCTGTTGGTTTAAATCCAGCTATCTATGTCTCTATTGTAATAGCAAAAGGATAACAGAATATGAATAAAACATCCAAATTTGTGGATAATTTGTCACTACTTTAACCGTATTAATTTTGTTTACATCTGTTGCCATTACCAGGGATATATTATCAGTAAGTAAGGACAATTAAGCCCGGGCACACCTTGCTTACTGCAAGCCAGTGCATACCGTGCTTACTCGTTATTCTGCCCCTGGCCATTACTTTATATTTTCCATTTAAGACAGAACAAGTCAACCAAACTATAAAGTATGTATCAAATATGGGAGTCCATTCAATATCCTACCCAGAAGAACAGACTTAATGATTACGAGAAATCTTTAAAACCATTGTCAAAAGATAGTACATAATTAAAAGAAAAATGATAGCGTGAGGAACATGTGCTAAATTAAGTCTAAACGAAGATGTAAGCAGGGATGCAATATAATTTGAATTTTAAAAAGAGTAGGTTGAATACATTGTTCAAAGAAAAGTATTCTTTCTCTTAACCCATGATCATGCCAAACACCATACCACACACTGGTCATACAAAGATGGCCTAAATTTTTCAGTAAAAACCTTCAATATTGAAAATAGGAACATCAAATGAGGTTCGTATAGTGTTTCAGAGAACTTCTTCTCTTACAATCTCTTCATTTTACATGTAACAAAGATCAAAGTGGAATCCTGAAAAATTATTTAATAACTGTACTACTTTAAGGAGGGGAAAACAATGTCATTAATGATGAAAGGCAGTATGATCAACAAATTGATGGAAGTTTGGTGACTAGGTAAATGACCTCTGAGAAACTGTAAGAACCTCACTTGATCTAGTTAAACACACTCCTATTTTCTGTACTGGAGGTTTCTACCTAAAAATTTAGGCCATCTTTGTATCACCCAAGGTACTTGGCATAAACATAGGTTAAAAGAAGAGTTACGTTTTCCTTGAACATTTAAGATTTACATTTTTCAACATTACTACTGTTGCCATGAGATATTGTTAAAAAAAAAAAAA